TAATCCTAGACATAGAGGAGGGAACTTTTAAACATACTCAAGATATAGAGTTACACTGAGTCCCTGCTGTTATATTTTTCTTCTTTGCACATCTCCTCCCAGAAGACCCAGGTATTATGAAGGGATTGTGAACAGCATGAAGATGGCTGTGGCCAGTGGGTGTCAGTGAATGGTAAATTTTATTTAAAAATTTATATTTAAAAAATGAATAAACACTAATCTCAGCAATGAAATCTGTATTTTATAAAACTGTAAAAATGGGTTGTTCAAATAGAAGCGTGAGCGTGAAGGGATGTCAAGAAAGATAAAGACTAAGATAGAGATATGGTGACATTCCAGAGAGCAGCTTCAGGTGAATTCTGAACACAAAGTGAGATTTCAGTGAGGTAATATGGTCGAGGTGTCTCACTAAACCTAAAAGTAGAAAATAAAAAATAAAAAAAACTTAGCAGAGATTTTCTTTTATAAATGAACCCTGAAATTAGGAACAGAGAAATGAGATCAAGAAAAGACTCCTGTGTATCAGCACGACCTGGAAAGGGGCTGACCAATTTGTGAAGCTGCCAGAATTGCAAAGGGGAGGTAGGAGTTCACAGCAGCCTGAGCCTGGCATTTAGAGCCTGAAAGAGCTACTTGGGTAGAAAGGTCAGTTGTAATCTCAGGTGGACACTGATTTTTCTCTGTTGTTGGCTGAAATGTTATGAGGTGGGCAACAAAGACATGATAGCCACTCTGTCAAGAAGAGACAATCTATAAACTGTGGGGGAAATACACATTGAATCCCGAGTCTCCTGTGGAGAATCTTGTTTCTCTCCTTTTGTTCTTTGTCAGAATTACTGAACCTTAGGAAACAAACTCCCTTCCTCTTTCTCCCTCCATCATTCCCTGAAACTTGGCTTCTGACATGCTCACTTTATGAAAATTGCTCTTTCAAAGGTTACCAATGAAGTTTTTATTGCTAAATCCAGCACACATTCAACTTAGATCACTCTGATGCATTTAATACCACTGGATACTGCTTCCTGGACACTTACACTGACTTGGTTTCCATGACACCACACACCATCCTCTCTGCCAAACATAATTTTTGTCTCCCACGTCCCTCCCCACCTGCCATTCTTATCTTGTCTCTAACACCATGAATGTGAATGCTTCCTCAAGTCAGTGCTTGGCTCCCTGACCTTTCTCTCTTCTCTCTTCCACTGAAAGACAAACTTCATTTTTGTTTCATTATCATTTATATGTTGATTCCTCTGAAACCTGTATATCTAATTCCAAGTGGCAGTCGCATATTTCAAATTCTCCAAGACCTTTCTTATATGTAGGTCATACTATCATTTCAAATTTAACAATTGAGGAACCAAGCTTACCACCTACCCTCCACCTCCTCCAAGTGAACATCCTCTCAATTGTCCTATCTGCACTGGCAGCACCATGTTTTTCCACATCATTTGCAGTCAGAAATATGGTTTCATATTCTATATTTTTTAAATTCTCATCTTTGTCCTTTCTTGCCTTTACAATGAGACCCTGCCATCAGTCTAAGTTGTGTATCTTTGGTTTTATCCAACCACATATCAGAGTGATAATCAGTTACTCTTGATGCATGCGTCCATTGCCTCTTTCCATCTATATGCTCTCAAATTCCCTTACAGCTAACAGAACACACAGCAAATAATTTTTTACTGAACACAAATCTTGTTCTACCCTGTGTTCTACTCAGTCTCTTCCAATTCCCATTGGTTACTGTGATTTAATGTCTTCTACTCATCGGTTACTGTGATTTAATGTCTTCTACAAACACCTAATGTCTCAGAAAGCATCTTTAAGGTATTCTTTAATCACTCAGGTGATCTTCAGTTATATCTCATACTTCTGCCTTGTTGAAGCTCCGAGTCAGATCCTCTTTCTGCTGCTGCCGATGCCTTCTTCCACTATGCTCTCTGAGGGCAAACTTTGTTGCATGGGCAATTAATGTAGCCAAGACAGCTCTGTTTGGGGCACACAGGTGGACTTGCTTCTCTTCAACATACTGTATCTTTTCTTCCTCACCCTCAACTCTTCCATAGCCATCCAGACAGGTGCCACTACCTTGACCTGAACTTTCACTGGCAGGAAGGCACCCAAGAGGATCCAGCAACAGTGAGGATTGGCTCACTGTGAGAATTGCTCCCAGTTCTGAAGACCCAGGATTCATTTTCCCACATCCTGACATCAGAACTTTTCCTTTCTGCAATAGAAAGAATTCTCAGTTTCCGTTTTGACAACGCTTGAAGTGCAAGCTGTTCTCTTCCAAGGCCTGAGAAGCATATTCCAGGGAAGGAAACTAAACAACAGAATCAGACTCCACTTTTTCTCCATTTTCCAATTCTACTATAGATCCTACCTTCCAACCAAGCTTTTCTCTTCACAGTGTATGAACACAACATTTTTATATTCAACTACAAACCCTGGCACTTGGCCTCAACAGCTATGTAAAGCCCTTATCTCCAAGCTCTCTCACCATGAGTCTAAGGCTGTGTCACTCATCCCCAAGACCTGTTCCCTGGACTCATCTCCCATTAGAGAAGACTCTCATCTACGTTAATTTGCAAACCATTTTTTGTTAAAGAGAATGATTATTTATTTATTTATTTATGAAGAAAACTAAAAGCATCTGGTGAGCCGTGTGTTCTCTGAGTTTTATGGCACTTATTAATTAACATCTGGAAATGTTAGGGAATTGCATAGTCCCTGGGTTCTCAAGAAAGGTTACCTTCCTGCTCCTACTTCCAGCATTACCTGATCATATTACTCAATTGTATTGTACTTTTTGTTGCTAATAAACTGTTTCTTGTAAAGAAAAAATCCTCACTCAAAATTGAGTCCTTTGATTCCACAATACATAACAGTTTATTTTCATGTGTAAGAAAAATTGTTAGATAAAATCAATGATCTAAATATAAATAAGTCCTAATACCCAGATTCAATCTAGAAGGGATCAGAGATAAACACAATAATAGGTATAATACGAGACAGATAATGGTAACAGCCATAAAGACTCTAAAATGATGGTAATAATAACCTTTCAGATACTGTTCCATGTACTTTATGTGTATCATAGTATCTCATTTATCTTTAGAGAAACACTGTGAGGTAGATAGTTTTATCTTCATTTCACAGAGAAGGAAACGAAAGTTCAGAGGGGTTTAGTGACTTGCAGAATACCCAGCCACTAGTAAATGGCAACATTGGAATTCTATCCCAAAGTCTTTTATCTTAACCATATGGGAAGTACAAAAGAGGGAAAATAACGTATAGTTGGGACATTAGAAAAGTTTTCATGAAGCAGACTGTTTTCTATTTTTCATATTTTTTGTATAAATTCAAGGCATACAAGTTTAGTTTTATTACATAGACAGCCATAACATAGTGGTGAAGTCTGGACTTTTAGTATAACCATCACCTAAATAAGCTTGAGATTAATGTTGAAAAATGGCTGGAATTCTAAGAAACAGAAAAAAATAAGAGAGAAATTCAAGACAGAATGAAGGCAAGGAATAGAAGTAATGAAATCAGAAAATCCAGGAATGTATAAAGAACAACAGTTAGAGAGGTTTGACTGGAGAATAGGATTAGATTCTGAGATACAGCCATGTTAAAGCCAGGTTGCAAATGGCATCGGCTTCCAAGCAAATTATATTTATTTAATTCAGAAGTCAACAGCTGCATAATCCCAACTTTATCACTAACCCATACTGTGCAACAGGCCAGATAAGACTTCACAACCCGGGCTTCCATTTAGAGAAAAAGTAGAGAATGGAAACTCCCCAGGGATAAGAATAGGAAGGATACTTTGAACAATGATAAAGAAAGTGTATTCTTGGTGGCAGTGATTGTGTCATTGAAAAGGCTGATTAGGTCTGGGGCGACCTAAGAGAAGAAAGAGTGAATAAGAGGCTAAACAATACGATGAGAAACAAGATGCCATATAATTTAGGGATGAGAGAGAAAGAAATAATGTGGCTAGAAAGAGGAACATCAGTTTGATATCTCAGAGGCAGACAAGGTTTGAGTGGTGGTTAATAAACTGTACAGAGAGAGAATGAAGTAGATGTAGAAAGAACGAAGATGGAAATCTCTGGGGTTGTGCAAGAGTCAGTGACCACTGAATCCCTAGCACCTAGTGTAGTACCTGAGAATTAGTGAATAAATGTGAGTATTAGTGGGGTCATCACCAAAGATGGATTAGAGATACACTCAATGACCCAGGACTCAAAGAAGAGGAGAGAAAAATTTGGGGAGATGTTGACATCTCTGCAGGTAGTATGAAGTAACCAGAAAAACAAGTAATAATGAGAAATGGAAAGATCTAGCATAAGGAAGTACCATGATACGCAAAAGAAAAAAAGCGCTGAGTAGAAGTAGCAGAAAAATACTAAGCTTCATGGGGACAGAAAGTTTATTCTCCAAGTCCCTCTTTCCCCTTAGCTTTGCCTGAATGTATTACTTGATGTTGAATTAGGCAAAGGTGAAGGCACTGTTTAGGGTCTTCAGCAGAAAGTAGAATCCTAGAATATCCTACAAATAGAAGACAACTTGAGAACTATAAAAGAAAGAAAAGGCCTTGTTCCCATAGCCCACGAGAGGGTTGAGCTCAGCAATACACTCCACATGGCTCAGGAGCTTCTGGCAGAGCACAGAGCCATCAGAGAGAGGGGCCCAGAGAGCAGAGAGAGACTCTGCTGACATGGCCAGCCCAGCGCCTCATCCCATCCATAACCCTACTGCCCTGCAATGACTCTCTTCCCAGCAATAAAATCTGGGTCACAGGAGTTGGAGCTCTAGCCATCACTTGTCTCTAATAAATAACTCCCATTGATTTTCCAGCTCAGGGCCTCACCACTCCTTCACTGTAAGGGCCAGGGGGCAGACCTGGAAAATCCCTCACACATTATTGGTGCTCTTCTTCCCCTATCCTCACCCAAACTGCATATAAACCCTGAATAGCCTGAAGTCTAAGGGCGTGAATATCAGATGCTAGGGGGACAGCCACTGTGTTATCTGCTGCCCTCATCCTGGTCACTGCTCCTGCTATAATAGCCCTAGGCCAGGAATATGAACAAGCTGCTGCTTTGGGTCTCTGTCCTCACCAGCCTCCTGGAAGCCTTTGCTCACACAGGTAAGGAGGTCAAGGAATGGTCAAAAATCATAAAGTGAGAAAATGGTTGAAGCTGAGACATCTTTTCTCTGCATTTATGCTGAAGGTCATTATCTTTCTTTCTCTCTTTATCCCACAGACCTCAGTGGGAAGGTGTTTGTATTTCCTAGAGAATCTGTTACTGATCATGTAAACTTGATCACACAGCTGGAGAAGCCTCTGCAGAACTTTACCTTGTGTTTTCGAGCCTACACTGATCTCTCCCGTGCCTACAGCCTCTTCTCCTACAATACCCAGGGAAAGGATAATGAGCTAGTAGTTTATAAAGAAAGAGTTGGAGATTATAGTCTCTACATTGGAAGACAAAGAGTTACATTCAAAGTTATTGAAAAGTTCCCGGCTCCAGTGCACATCTGTGTTAGCTGGGAGTCCTCATCAGGTATTGCTGAATTTTGGATCAATGGGACACCTTTGGTGAAAAAGGGTCTGCGACAGGGTTACTCTGTGGAAGCTCATCCCAAGATTGTCCTGGGGCAGGAGCAGGATTCCTATGGCGGCAAGTTTGATAAGAGCCAGTCCTTTGTGGGAGAGATTGGGGATTTGTACATGTGGAACTCTGTACTGCCCCCAGAAGAGATCCTGTCTGCCTATCAGGGTACCCCAGTCCCTGCCAATATCCTGGACTGGCGGGCTCTGAACTATGAAATCAAAGGATATGTCATCATCAAACCCCTGGTGTGGGTCTGAGGTCTTGACTCAACAAGATCACTTGAAAATGAAATGACCGTCTAAGAGATCTGCTCAAAGCAACTGGATACTAGATCTTATACCTGCAGCTCTTTCTTCTTTGAATTCCCTATCTGTATGTCTGCCGAATTAAAAACTGTATATTGTATTATGCTACCTGCATTTGTTTAGTGCTTATCATAGTCCCATATCTTTATCTTATATCTACTACTTATCTATCTGCTGCTTATCTGGTAATTGGTGTTTCCTGAACAATCAAATTGCCAAGTATGGGGAGGAAAACCTATAAGTAACTAGAAAGGTATATCACAAAACCAGGGCACTCAATGAGCAGGACAGTGGCAATACTTAAAAGCTACTAACAATCATTTTAATAACTATTCAAAATATGTGTGGAATTGCAATCACAATTTTTCTGTTTTTCCAGCTACAAATTGATCAAAAAGATGTCTGAGGTTGCATCAGGGAGACAACTATAATGAAATAAGTAAGCAATAGTTGAGAACCTAACAGCAAGTAATGAGACAGGAAGAATAAAACTAGAAGTCAGAATGAAAACCAAAAAAGTATGAGACTGGGATAGTTTTGTATGAAGACAAACATAACTTTATGTCTCAAAAACCTCAGTAGGACTGTCCAATGCTTGATTTTCATAATGCTGTCCTGATGTCATCAAAAAATGTTATACTCTGAATATTGCTTACATGAATATGCTGTCTGAAATTATTCCATGGATTCACACTTCTTACAGGACGTGATTTAAACCTCTAAATATGACATTGCCCTCCATAACCTGGTCCCACTTACTCTCTGAAATGTACACAGAGAATACACACAGAATACTCTCCGAAATGGACTTTCCATGTACATTTCAGATACAACTGTTAGCAGAGCAAGTGACATCCTAACTATCACACTGCAAAATAATTGTCAGATGCTATTACTAGTAGTTATTTTTATGGTTATGAAAAGCATGGAACACAGTGCCTGGCCCATCATCAACAGATATGAGTTGCATTCCCAGAGAAGCAAGGATCCCAGAGGGAGTTCAGGCTATATATATTGGAAATAAGACAGGCTTTTCTCACTGATAATAAGTAGAGCATGAAGTCAGTGGAATCAGAAAGATAGCATCCAGAACAGTTTCAGGATGGTAACCAATGTGATTATTTCAAACTCATGAGGCCATTTGGCCAGAATGAACAGAGGCAGTAGCCAGATATGAAGAAATAGGATAGAATCTAGAAACTCCATAATGGGGCAATGGGGTGGAAGCAGAGAGGACCAGACAGCACCTGTGAAGATTTGCTGAAGTACTTAAATGGAGCAGCAGGGGCTTCATAAGAACATTTCAACCTCATTTCTGGTGAGGTGGTGAGATGGTTTGGATATGGTTTGTTTGCCTCCACCAAACTTCATCTTGAACTTTTATTCTCAATATGGTGTTGTTGGAAGGTGAGTCCTAGTGAAAGGCATTTGAGCTATGGGGGTGGGTCTCTCATGAATGTTTTGGTGCAGTTCTCACGGTAATGAGTGAGTTCTCACTCTTATGAAAGTACATTAACTCTTGTGGGATCAGATTGGTTCTTGCCAGATTTAGCTGTTATAAAACCAGGATGTCCTTTAGGTTTTGTTTTCTTTGCACATGTTCACTTCCCCTTTGACTTTCTCCACCATGTTTTGATACAACACAAAACCCCTCACCAGAAGCCAGAGGCATGATCTTGAACTTCTCAGCCTGCAGAGCAATGAGCTAAATAAACCTCTTCTCTTTATAAATCACTGAGTCTCAGATATTCTTTTATAGCAACACAAAATGGACTTAGACAAGTAGAACTTATTTAGAACATTGAGTTGGTTAGGTAGACAGGGATTTTAGCAATATGAGAAATTATTAATTTCTGATTGACAGCTCATGAGTTAAGGCTTGCTTTATGCTTTCTTAACATTAACCACCTTTCCATAAACTTGTACTATGAGTACTAGAAGGGTCTGTCTATTCTTGCATATCAGATATTTCTATCATGTTCACTAACATTGTGTTTTGGTTTAACAACCCCTTTGCCTTGGAACCTAAAACAAGTTTTAGAAATGAAACCAGTGTACTTCCAAGTGCTATAATCCATTCATTCAACTATGTATTAAGCAACTTCTCAAAAATACGCCAGGCGATGCCAGGTACTGAAAATATAATATTGAGTAAAACAATCATGGTGCTTGCTATTTTGGAATTTACATTCGAATAAGTCTGTGTTAACTACATGTGGGTTTCTCCTGACAATAATCAGCCTGTATTGTAATCCATCCCTCATATGTTTAGGCTTTCTTCTATCTCAGGTTGATATCATAGTCCCCCTCTCACTTTCCCCTAAGTTAAAGATATTATTTATTCTTGGTGATCATTTGCAACTACTTGCACAGATCTCAGGATAGAGTATTTGTGACAAGTTTCTTGTTCTTGTGAACCCTCTGCCTCTTAAAATGGCTCTTTTGAACACAATCCAAAATGACTACATGTAAGCTCTTTCTTCTATGTTGTCTGTACTTCAGCCAAAAGAAACATTTATACATCTCTTGTCCCTATAAATTCTAGAAGTCTCAGATGGTCTTAATATAGACAAAACTTTCCTATTTACACAGTGTTGCAGCTTTCTCAAGTCCTTTGAGTTGCCCAGTAGCAAGAGGGATATTTCAAGCTTCCTCAGTGATTCCACAGAAGCCCCCATACTAGGCTTGAGGTTGGGTAAGGAAGTAAAAAATAATAATCTTCTCAAGATACAAATAGCATAACCTAATTCTCCCTCAAAGCAGCAACAACAGCAAAACAGCAGCTCTCTGCAAAGAAGTTCTTTGGAGAAGTTCCTTCCTATGCCCACATTCTGCCTTCTCTGTGCACCTTGTTCTAGCCAAAAGATAGAAGAATTGTAGAGATGGTTCTTAATCATTTCCTTCATAAATTTTTTATTTGAGTGAATCTGTGTATATTATTTTTATTATTAATATCTATCATATTGATGGCTCATTCAAAACTGAAGAGTCCATTTTAACATCATTTATAATAGAGATGGTGATATGGTTTGGCTGTGTCCTGACCAAAATCTCATCTTAAATTGTAGTTCCCATACTGCACATGCGTCGTGTGAGGAACCCCGTGGGAGTTAATTGAATCATGGGGGTGGCTACCCTCATGCTGTTCTCATAATAGTGAGTGAGTTCTCACAAGATCTGATGGTTTTATATGGGACTTTTCCCCCCTTGCTCCACGATCCTCCTTCCTGCCACCATGTGAAGAAGGATGTGTTTGCTTCCCTTTCTGCCATAATTGTAAGTTTCCTGAAGCCTCCCCAGCACTGTGGAACTGTGAGTCAATTAAATCTCTTTCCCTTATACATTACCCACTCTTGGGCAGTTCTTTATAGCAGTATGAGAACGGACTAATAAAGATGGAATTTCTGGTAACGTCATCTTGGCATTTTTCTCAGATATAGTTGTTGTCACAACAAAGAAAGCAGCAAAAGTCACAGAGGAAACTACTTGAATAATTCAGAATCTATAAAGAAAATGGAAGGATTTGGAGGCGCAACAATCCAGGAACATAGTTGTGTAGTGATTTAACAATTACAGAGATAATCATCCCCTTTCTCATACTTGCCACTAAGGCTAGTAGATACTAGGAAACAAGTAGTACATAAGATGTACAATGAGTTGCTAAAACCAGGAGTCATCTCTAATAAGAAAAGCAATTTTTGACTCTATCTTACGCAAGTAAAGATCTGATTCTTATTTTTGGCTATAGAAAAACAGGTAAGAGCATTTAGCCACATAGCTTCAGGACTGGTTTTAACTGAAGTCCATAAATAATTCTCCTGGATGAGAAGGCTTGCAGGTAGTTTTCTGTGAGTTTTGTGTGGGAGACTCTGGGTGGAGCTCTGAGATTAAAGCAATGAGGCCTCTTAGTTTGGGATATGCCTTAGCTAAGACTTGAGTTGAAGTAGAAATTTGAAAAAATATTTTATCTGCACTGGATAGGATCAATGTGTAGTCACATTTGGAATGCAGTGTAGAGACCTTTTAGGTATTCATGAGACTTTCCATTATTTAGAAAGAATAGGTGTCCAAGACCGTTCAAATGACAGAAGAAAAAATGAAACATGACCTGAGTTGTCTTTAATCCTTGTCTTGTCAAGACTAAATAGCTGATTATAATATAAACTAAACTCCAATTTGTATTCCAGAATTTTCTATCTCATTTTTGTCTGGCTGTGGCCACTTTTCTGAGTTTAACTTGGGAGATTTGGGCACTGGTAAAGGCACCCGCATCATGTCACATACAACCACAGGATCCAGAAGCAAAGCTAATCTAATGTTATTGACATATTTCACTGAAGCCCATAATCTATGAGGGTGAGATGCCAAAGACAAATACTTCATCTAGAGCTCCAGCTGTTGCAGCAGCTTCTCTCAGTATTCTTATGGGGATCCAATGAGGATTCGGTCTGACAATGCATACAAAACACCTACTCAGTCCCCGTTCTGGCACTCAGTCCCAGTGCAAGTGCTCAGTGATCGTCAGCTATAATGATGAGGAGGATGATGATCTCAAATTCAATCATCTGCCGTAACTTCTTTTTATATTCTGACAAATCAAAATGAGCACTCATGCTCCATTTTTAGTTCCTACCCCCAAAACTAATTCTTACCTAACCAAACCAAAGCATGGCCTCTACTAGTAGGAGAAATGATGTAAGCTCTTTCTATATACAAAGAGAGACACCATATCTGACTTTTATATGAGTGCATTCTCACTGATAGTAACTGACCAAGGACCAAACACTAACAGGGGTTCAAAAGAAGACAAGATGGCGCCATGTGACAACATGTCTTCAACTGAGTTGAGCTATTTTTTTCCCTGAAGAAAAATAGGTAGCAGGCCATGTGAGACCAAAGCTTGTTCAATATTCCTAGTGTGATCTGCTTGTAATGAGATCTTCCAGCTCATTCCTGGATTCTGACTCTGTGCAGACCCATGGGAGACATGGTAAGTCTCTTGACAAATTAATGCAGGAGACCAGAGCTAGACAGAAGAACATCTCCTCTGAGAGTCTCTTTCTAATCACAGAATTTAAGGGGGCAACTCTTCTAGAGCCAAAGCAAAAAGGGCC